CCCCACACCAGAAGCAATCCCCCCCACATAACCCATCCCCTGGCAGGGTTTTGTGAGGGTGAGACTGAAAAAACCTCCCGGGGAGGGAGCTTGCAACACCCCACCCCCCAAACCCCCTTTCCCTAGGGAAGCCTATTCCAACAGTCCACCCACCCAACATAGAACAATAGCCCAAGAGCGACATACCTGTATGAGCACAGCCCCGAGGGTCGGTCTCCCCATGCCAAACTGGTTCCTGATGGATTGCTAGCTGTCTGGCATGGCGAGCTTCCAGAGGGCGATGGCGACCTGCTTCTGGAGGGGGATGGCAGGTCTCGTGAGTGCCCCATCACCTGAGGGCAGGGGTGAGCCACTCGCAGAGCTCCAGAAACATGTCCTTCCTCATCCTGAAATTTTGGAGCTATTGCTGGTCTCCCAACCACTCCATGATGATCCGATCCCACCAGTTGGCACTGGTGTCCAGACGCCAGAAGAGGTGGTGCACGGTGTGCAGGGGAGGGTAGGTGGGAGCCAGCTTCATGAGCCGCACCCACAGAGATCCAAGGAGGGCCTTCCCAGAGGAGTTGGGGGTTGGGTGTCTGCAGAGCCTGGGCTGCAGCCTGCAGAACCTGCTGTATGAGGTGCAGCACAAGCTGCAATAGTCATAGATTGCTAAGAGGCAGCTCCGGCTCCATGGCTGGCAAGCTGAGGTAACCACAGCAGGCAAAAGAAAAGGCTTTGTTGTCCCTTGAGGAGGTAGGTCCTGAGAGACAGCTGAGCAAGAGCCTCAGCGAGCCTCAGACAGCAGCTCCAGGAACTCACTGCTCACCTGATGCCCTGACTGAAGTGGTTCCAGGTGACCTTAAATGCGAGTTAGCATCCAATCAGTGTGGACGCTATCTTTCAAAACAGCTATTTTGGAAGATCTCTTCTGGAATAGCTTATTTTGAAATTAATGTGCAGTGTAGATGTAACCGGGCTGAGCACGGCCTGGTAAACCACCAGCATCCCCAGCAGAGCAGGGCTGGCACTGCCCCAGCAGCCTGAGGAGTGTGTCCATGGGGGAAGCAGAGCAGGAGGAAGAGCCTACGAGAGGAGATGGTGCCCAGGGCACCTGCAAGGCAGCCCTGTTGGGAGGGGTGTTGTTCTGGGTAGCAGCTTATGCCAATGCAGGCTTGCTCTTGGTGTCCCAGCTCTCTGGCTCTTCGTCTCCCTCACTGGAAGCACTCACAGTGCATCCCCACCACCACCCGCCCACAGAGTGTTTGAGACAGCTGGCACAGGGGGCTGCTCACGCTGCCCAACCTCATTCCAATCCCAGCAGCAGCATGTGGGGGCAAGGAATCCCATGCCCCACCCAGCCCAGCTCCTGGCAGGGGTTGAGAACATCTGGCTCTGGCCCCTCCCTGGAAGGGCCAACTGCCAGGAAAGGTTGGCTGGCACCAGGGAATCCACAATCACAGAGGAGCCTGTGGGGGCAGGGGGCATTTCTGTTTGCACCACAGAGCAACCAGGAGACCCTCAGCTGGCAGAGGGGGCTGCCTGCAGGGGGCTCGGGCATGGACAAGCACCTTTGGTGACACCAGCTCCACAACAGGGCTACGTCTAGATTGCCTCCCTTTTTCGTAAAAGGGATGCAAATTTTAAGGGGGATAAGGGATCTTTTGGAAAAGGCTTTATTTTCCGAAAGATCTGCGTCTAGACTGGCGCTTTTCTCCGGCAAAGCTCCATGCTGAAAAAAAGCAGCAGCCATTTTTATGCTAATGAAGCGGGGGAGATTTAAATCTAGATGTAGCCCTAGAGTGTATGTGTTCTAAATCCTTACTGATTACCTGGCCCTGTAAATGAGATGATCTGCTGCAAAAGACAGTTTGATGACAACAGACAAAACATAATTAAAGAAGAACACTTGCAAATGCATAGATTTAAATCTGTATTAGACCTATTATATTAGTACTTTATAATTACGCTTTAATTCTTAGCCTGTCAGCCCCCCCATCAAGATGGAAGTGTGTGAGTCAACTATTTAAGCTAGGACTGAACTGCTGTGAACCCTCTAATATAGCCACTGCTAGGAATGAGGGAGAGCTCTCAGGTCATCTTAATTACTCCGGCCCCTGTGAGGTCATGACTACACTACAGAGAAGATTGAAGCAGCCACAGTCAATCTTCCGAGGTTTGAGTTAGCGGGTCTAGTGAAGACTAGGGATTTAAGCGACTAGTCGACTATCTGATAAGCATAAAATTATTGTATAGTCGACTAACCCCTCAACTAGTTGCTTCCCCCCACCTTGATGCCTCTATCAGAGGCAGCAAGGGGCAGGGAGTGGAAGCAGGAGCTGGTGCTGGGGGTAGCTTGCTTAAAAGCTGGTTCCTCCCAGCACTATCTCTGTGGGAGGCAGGCAGGTAGTGGGGACCAGGCACATGCTGGGAATCAGCTGATTCCCTGCTCATGCCCAGTCCCAGGACACTGTGCCTGTGCTTTTTAAATGTATTAAGAGCCTGCCGATGCTTAAAATCAGAAGCACAGTGGGGGGGACCTGGCGCGAGTGGGACAGCTGATTTCTGGCCCCAGGAGCTAATTCTGCAGTGGCTCTGCCTTTTAAATGTATTAAGAGCCGTCCATCCCCACCACTGTGCTTCAGCTTTTTAAATGTATTAGGAGCTTGCCAGTTCTTAATACATTTAAAAGGCAGAGCCGCTGCGGGATTAGCTCCCGGGGCCAGGAGCTAACCCCACTGCAGCTCCCTTGTTTATCGACTAATTGACTAGTTGATGGAAATTCCATCAACTAGTCAATTAGTTAATGATACACTAAACAGCTGCAGGCTCTGCCCGCAACTCCCCTGCAGTCCTTGCTTGGGGTGTCTGGAAATCCTGGCCCAGTGACTCCCCTTCCTGCCGGGCCCCACATGGCTTGGTCAGTGGGACAGCTCCATGTGGAATTCCCAGAGCACAGCTCTGCCTGGACCAATCCAGGCCTGAGCCTGGGAGGTGCTGAGCTCCTTCCCTTAGACTCCAATGGGAGCCAACAGCCCAGAGCACCCAACAGGACTGGGCCAGCTGAGCTGCCTGGTGCATGTGAAGGGGCTCCAAGTCGCCCCGCCACCGAGAAGCTAAGGGTATGTCTACACTAGCCCCCTACTTGGAACTACGGTGGTTAATGTAGTCATTCGAAGCTGCAAATGAAGCCCGGGCGCCACCATTTTTAAATCCCCGGTAGTGCGGACTCCGTGCCCGCGGCTACACGCGGCACGGAGTAGGTAGTTCGAATTCTGAGTAGGTAGTTCGGATTAGGCTTTCTAATTCGAACTACCAGCACTCCTAGTTTTAACTAGGGTGGTAGAGAGCCAAAGGTCTGCGTCCTGAGGCCCAAGGGGGGCAGGTGGAGGGCAAATTGTTCTTCCACGACCTGGCCTGGACACCTCTTCAGCCCTGGGCTGCCTGGCCCACATGGCAACTCTATGTGGGGAACTGTGCCCAGATGAAGCCCAGTGGAGTCTCAGGCTGGGGCCAAGCCCCCAGGGGTATGTCTACACTACAAAGTTAGTTCGAACTAACGGACGTTAGTTCGAACTAACTTTGATAGGCGCTACACTAGCGCTCCGTTAGTTCGGATTTAATTCGAACTAACGGAGCGCTTAGTTCGAACTAGGTAAACCTCATTCCACGAAGATTAAGCCTAGTTCGAACTAGCTAGTTCGAATTAAGGGCTGTGTAGACCCTTAATTCGAACTAGTGGGAGA